CCTATGTCCAAGCACGAGGGGACGAGCGTGAGCGTCCACGACCGGCCATGGCCCGCGCGCTGCAGCACCATTAATGGTGTGACGATAGCGTGCATGGCCCGCGTCGGACGGTACCCAACCGAGCCAGGGAGGGGGTAGCGCGATGCAACGAGCAGACACGAGTGCGGGAGTGACACGGCGGCAGCGGCAATGACTGCGGCCACGATTATGTTGCGACGTGCGACATGGAGGGTAGCAGCAGCATCAGCGGTAGCCACGGTGGCAGTGTCGGTCGGGCACAGAGAGGACCGCCGGGCACGGCGGCCTACGGTTGGCTGCAAGCGGTGCGGCCAGAGCGGCCAAGCCGCGGCTAGGCCACGGCCAGACCAAGGGCAGCCTCGGCCGGCCGGTGTGTGGCCACGCATGCACGCACACGGCACAACCACGCAACGACCCAGAACATCCACGCGTGGTGACCACGCGCCCGAGCCCGACGGCCCGAGACTGAGTACGCGCACGAATTTTAAAGCGCCCATAAAAACTAAACGATTTAATTTGGAACCAAGCCATCTTCACTACTCTAAAGAGGGAACCTTAGGCTATCAACAAGAGCTACAACACGACACCCCTTCTTAAATCAATTCCACAGAATAATTTGCCAAACATAGCTTTGTCACACTGCTCCTCACCTTAGGAATTTTTCTAAGTCTTGAGCTGGATTTGTTTTCAAGTTCCGTTTCTAGACTATTAGAAATACTAGCTAGTAACATTATTTTTCTACAGCATGAGTTGTATTGTTATCTATAAAGTTTGTACTTTAAACATTATTTAAGTCTAATATATAGGTTCTATAGTAATTTTTGTTCAATAAAAATTAGTTTACACCCCTACTTGTTAACTGTATGAATCGTGGAGCAACTTTCGTTTCACATTTTTGTTGATCGTTTTAGTTGCAATGCATTATCTACTCACTTCACCACATGCATTAACACACAAGTATGATGCTCATGACATGTTTTAGTAGATGATTAACGGTGTAACACCGAGGGTGTTACATCGTCGATGGACTGGATGGCGGGCCAGGCGCTAGTGCCCGCCAGGTCGAGATCCACCGGCCCGGAGAGCCCCGGCGGATCAGCGTCGAGGTAGGAGGAGGACCTGGCCGCAGAGCAGGACAAGTCGGCGTCGGAGTCGGAGTAGTCTGAGATCTCCGTCTAGGCATGGTCTTGGAGCGGCCCGAGAAGCCATCGAGGAAGAAGGTAGGTGCGCCCGGGGAGAGGGCGGGACCCTTACCTGCAGAGCCTAGGGAAGCTTGGGTGGCGTCCGGTGCCTGAGCGGCGGCCGGCGGCTGTGGTGCTGGTGGTGGGGAGTTTCGGGAAGGGGCGCTCATCTCTCCTCACCTTTTCCTTCGTTCCTATCAAACTAACGTGCCTCGTACCTAGAATCATATAAGAGTTCTTTGCATATAACCCTTTTTGACCAGATGAGTTTAACAGAATCTATGTATGGCCCCATTCGTTGGGAGGAATTGGAGGAATCTGGATGAATCTCGAGGAATTTGTGAGAGAAAAATACTATTTCAGATGAAAAAAAAACGGATCAAGTCAGGTTTAAAAGGCATGCGGGGCTATATGTGCAGCTAATCTAGCTAATTATGCAGCAGATACTAGCTAGACAAAGGCAAATTAAGTAGATGCGCATGAAATGACAAGGAAAATGACAGATATCACAGTCAGTTTGGAAATATTGTGTTGAGAAGTGATGGATCGAAAAGAAAGCAGGAACATATATATAATTCGATCAAATTCGAGGCGATATTTGTTTTATCCTTCGAGGGAGGTCTAGCATAAATGAATGCGTCAAATTGAATTAGTACTACTACTAGAACGCATGCAGTTCCCAAGGGCACAGGAAAGGCCAGCTCTTTGTGACAAACCAGATCAGACACGCACAAAAAGAACGCCAATGATTGAAGGACAGATGTCGGTCATGAAATGACATCAGTGAAGTGAAGTGATCAGAGAAAGAGAGCAGAGAGAGAGAAAGACAAAGGTTCGGACAGATGTCGGTCATGAAATGACATCAGTGAAGTGAAGTGATCAGAGAAAGAGAGCAGAGAGAGAGAGACAAAGAGAACCTGTGCTTCCTTTATCTAGAAAAGAATGTAATTATGGAATTTATGTCGATCAAAGTAGTTCAAGTTTCATCAAATTTATAGTAAATAGTATTAATATTTATGTCTCTATTTAAATTTATTATAAAAATATATTTTATAATTAATTTAATAATACTAATTTTGTATTAGGAATATTAATATTTTTTATATAATTTTGTTCAAAGGTTGAACCGATTGACTTCTCGAAAGCAAGAATTGTATTCTTTTACGAGAGAGAGTACCCATTCCCTTTGGAATAGGGCAAGATTCCAAAACGGTCATTTCATGCCTTCAAAAGAATCCGTCATAAAGACTTCCATCGATGCCTCTGGCAACCATCATGTATATTGTACTTATCAGCATGTCGTAAACAATCGTGGATTATTTACTGCTGACTAGTTTAGTGTGATTGAAAAATACTATTCCAACTTATAATCTATAATCATATACGAGCAAGCAAACATGTTGTATGTCTCCAAACAAAATTTATTACGAAAATATATTCTATAATAAATTTAACGGTACTTATTTTGTATCATGAATGATAGTAGTTTTTTTTTATAAATTTAGTTAAAGTTCAAACTATTTAACTTTTCAAAAAGCGGAGAGATACTTGTGTGAAGTGAGATGATATATAAATAAGGGGTATAGATTAAAAGATAGGCTGGCACACGTGAATCCACTAAAAATTTCATACACATAAATGTTATATATGATCAATCCTATAGCTACCGTGTGCAACATATATGTATACATACATATATTTCTTCATGGGCCCTAATAACGCCAATATATATTCATTAATCATTACACAGGAAGAACGGCACCTGAACAGAGAAATCTAACTAGCTCTTCAAAAATCTTGAACTAGATGCACTAACAGATTTCTGAGCCAGAATACTGTCTCATGGACGTATACATGCATGCAAGTTAGCAAGGAAGGTCAATTTGGAAACCCAGGAATTTGATGGAAACTCAACAATTTCAAGAAGTGAAAAAACAACGGGGCAAGGGAGAGCCTGAACTACATTGTATTTTTCCAGTGATTTCTAATACAAATCTAACCCGTAGAGCTTGTTTATTGGCTACACTTGTATTTATCTTATTCCACATGTGTTACCACTAATTTTGAAGCTATGTGTACAATTCAGGTGAATAGCTAAATTTATAGATGGGATATACTACGTACATTTGCATATATATGTTCCTAGTTGTATTCTTTTCTTGTATCTTAGATCATTTCCAGTATGATTTGGGCATAGCACACCTACAAGCTAATTACGCTAGTTCTAGTTTTCAGTGCAGGAACTTCAAAAGTCATGCATAGTTGAGTAATCACTAGCAAGAACTCTGCAAATTCGTTCATGGATATATAAACTCCAAGTAGCGCCTTCGTTATTTACAGATTAGAGTTTATCGTACCTGTTCCCCGGGCTATAATTTTGTTGAGAGTAATAAAATTAAATTACCTCAACACATTCTTTAACAATTGTTTTTTTACTATATGTAGTGCTTTGAACTCAAATCATTTTGGTTTCTTTAGTTAATAATCTAGCTCCTGTACCCTATCTTTCTCTTTTGAGCAAGAAAAATAAGCAATGGTCTCACCCAATCTAAGGAAATAAAAGATTGAGTCAACTAAACATAACATATTTCTCTTCCTTCTTGCATGTACTTAGTTTCATTATTCCCTCAGTAGAATTTATGGGGATTCCCAAACTCCAAAAAAATCAACCGATCCCTTCCTCCAGTGATGTACCCAAGTTATCATAGGTAATACGCGAAAAGTTGAGAAAGAGTAAGGAGCTGAGGATACATACAGGGTTCAAAATTTCGGCGAAATTTCAGCCGAATTTTACGAAATTCGGTAATTTCGGTGGTGGCCGAAAGAAAACTCCGAAATTTTTTAATACACTAATACATGTGCTATATAACTCTAATCTTATATTTTTCTATTGTTTATATTGCATATTCTTCTATTTAATAGATATGTAGTCATAAATCATACTAATATTTGTTTAGATCCAAATTTTTTTAGAAAAAACAAACTTCAGGTGCTAATCTCTAAAAGAATTTCGTGAAATTTGGTCGAATTTCACGAAATTCGGTAATTTCGGTGGTGGCTGAAATTTTGGCGATACCGAAATTAAAAACCTTGGATACATAGCTTGTACTTTGCGCAATGCTTGTGAGAAACACCGTACTTGTAGAATTGCAGAAAGCTGCTAGCTATATAAGAAACAGTAAATTCTACACGCAAGCAAAATAAAGAAACAAACTGATGTCCAGTATATACGAAAAGTTATTTGGATCCTTTTCAAGAAAAAAAAACATGCAAACCAGCAAGCAACATGAACCAATAAGTAGTATTGAACTTTTGAAATATAGGAAAAGAAAAACAAACAAACAAACAAACAAACAAAGAGATCAGCACTTGATCTTTGCAAACAAAAGAGAAGCGCAACCGACAGACAACACAACAAAGCTGTGGTTTCCCACCACCACACAAGAATTTATGTATCCTATGATAACATTGCTATTGGTACTAAAGTTACCTTGAACATTTGACTCCGGGACATAAACAAAAACAAATTTTGATCAATTTATGAGTGCATGTCCTGACAACACATAGTTCAAAATAACAGCGACACTCAACTGATCAAGAATTAACACAATCAAGTCCCATACAGGTTAACATAAAAAACATCAGAGAGAGATAGAGATCACAACAATGGAGGCACATGAGAGAGAACAAGGGAATGAAGCGGAAGACAGACAGAGAGAAAGAGATGCTACTTGGTTGTTGTACACGTAGTAGTCCACGTCCTCGCGCGCGTGCACTTTGCCGATAGATCGATGGGATCCGTCAAGAGAAGGGCGGCCTCCCGACACCGCCGCCAGGGGCGCCAGCCGGCCAGCCGGCGTGGCCGTCCATCGGCATTGGCGGCATCCCCATCGGCAGGTTGAAGTTGAAGAAGGGAAGCCCGCCAGCGGCCGCCGCGGCCGCGGGGTCAAACGGCACACCGGGCTGCTGCTGGTCGCCCCCCGCAGGCGGTGGAGGGGCCACCTCGTCGCCGTCCTCGAGCGGCAGCCTCTCGTAGGCGACGTTGCTGAACGACGCGGCCACGACGATGACGGGGCCCGCGGCGATGAGCGCGCCAGCCACGCTACCACCGACGACCTGCCCCTGGCCCCCCGCCAGGAAGGCCGCGAGGCTGGTGGCCCCCGGCGGGGCCGGGGGCGGGAGGAAGGAGCCAGCGAGGGAGAGTATCTCGAACCTGCCGTGGAGCGTGGCGACGGCCGGCGAGGCCGGGCCGGTCTGGGACGACTGCGGCTGGCGCAGTGTGACGTTGGCGACGGTCCCGGCCGCCGAGAGCACGCAGACGCCGCGCTGCCGGCGGCGCGCGTAGGCGGTGAGCGCCTCGAAGACGTCGCAGCCGGCGGCGACCTCGAGGATGTGGGCGCGGAGCGCGTTGGCGCTCTCCCTGGTGATGATCACGGGCGGCTTGGGCTTGTTCTTGGAGCCCGGCGGGCGGCCGCGAGGGCGGCGGGCGACGACCTCCCCGCCGCCGATGCCGGCGCCTCCGGCGGTGCTGGGCGTACCCCCTCCGCCGCCCGATCCCGGCGACAGCGAGTCCTGGCCATCGTCGGAGCCGCCCCCCGCGCCGCCGCCGTCTTCTTGGTGGAGGTGGAGGGGTGCCTGGTGGTGGCGCTGCCCGTGCTGGTGCAGGTAGGAGCTGGTGCCCAAATCCAGGCCTGCCATCTTTCTAGGGTAGGAGAAGAGCTAATTATAAGTTGAGTAAGGAGTATAGTAGCAAATAAGTCGCAAGTAAAAATAATGGCTACATAACAGTACCGATAATATTAATAATTGGCGGCGCGCGAGAAGAAGTGGTGGTGGTGGTGATGATGAAAATAGTAGACGGCGAGCAAGGACCAAGGAGAGGATGAATTTCTTTAGGGTTTGTGTGGTGCTTGTTTTCTTGGAGGGGAGTAAAGAATGGTTTCTGGGATGTGTGGGGGGAGACGAAAAGGGAGCTATAGCTGAAGCTGCTGCCGCTCTCTCTGCTTGGGGTTTCTTTTAGTTTCTCTCTCTGCTTTGTTAATTTATCCTGCTGCTTGCTTGCTGATGGTGGTGCTTATTGTTCATGTGGATCGGGATGGATTATATTTTGGGAGGGGAAAGCAGCTTGCTGGATGAGTGAGTGGGACAGAGAGGAGAAAAGGGCCGCGGCCAGAGATGGATGGGAGGTGCAGGACGAAGGAGAGAGGAGAGGAGGTCGTCGATGCTGGACTGGAATGGAACCCCAAACCCAATGGGGGCAAGAGAGAGAGAGAGAGAGACAACAGAAGGGGGAAGGAGGAAGGAGAGAGGAAGTGACGGATGGCAAAAGAAGGCGAGAAAGGGATAGGTTAGTGCTGGTCATTGGAGTTGATGGAAGGAAGAAAGAAATATAATACAGGAGCTAGAGAGAGAGAGAGAGGAGGGTGATGGGCAAGATGCATGCATGGCCCGGCTAGTATGTGACATGCAATGACATGTGGGGTCTAGCCCTCTCTGGGGCCCATGTGTCTGTGACTCCCGTGCCACCCGTTGAAGTGACGTATTTAGGAGCGTGCTTTGCTTGCTTTAATTTCCTTGAGAGAGAAGGTTGCATTGATACAACTTAGCGTTGATGCTTATGCACGCAAGTGAGGGATTAGTTTATTGTATTAGTTGGGGCAAGTTGGGGATTATTATATTAGCCCTAGGCCAAAGTGGTGACATTGGGTGTGTGTGTGCATTGAGACAATTTTCGGTTTAAGTGGGGGGCATGTGGGACAGCACAGCTAGTACATGGGTGGCTTGAATGAATTATTCCAAAGTGCCACACCTGTCTAGCTAGAGTCCAGCTTGGAATATGGCTGGTCTGGTCTTGGGCTACTACCCATCTCCATGATTTGGTGCCAATTAGAAGAGATCATTAGGTTAGGGTTAGGGTTAGGGTTAGGGTTAGGGTTCCCTAGATATATAGTAGGCCATATTCATATACATGCATTGCTGTTTTCTCGCTGGTTATTAGTGGAGGATGCGGCCAAGCAAATAATACATGCACTTTGACCAGCAGAGTAGTAGATGTTGTAGTAGTGTGCCTACAGCACCCTATATAGATCCATATATATGATTATCTCTGCCGCCATTGCTTTTGCCATGCAGTTAGTGGAACATAACTTAGCTAGAATGAAGTCTATATATGTATATATGTATATATGTCCCCTCTTTAATTTGATTGAGCAAATAAAGTCTAAAACTGGCCTAGCTAGATAGGGGCTTTTAATACAGTATGAGTTTGCTATTTTTCAGTGAAACATATATGTGTGGAGCTTATTAATTCTCTAATTAAATTTTGAAACATGAATAGTAGTTTATCTGTAGTGCATTAAACAAAGTCAGCTAGCCATGACAGGACTGTTCTCATATATATATTACTGCAACCATCAAGCTACTACGACGACTTAAAATTGTCAATGTGTATATGATGCGACAATGGAGTATTTTCGATTAATCCTATAGCATGTAACGGCCGTGCAGGCACAAAGTATTAAATGGAGCACGTTGCTACCCAATTGAAAAACACCATGTTCAAACTGAAAGTGTGTACGTACAGCTAATTTTGGACTATATTTAACTGACACACGATCGACGAACGACGAGAAGTCAAATTGTCAGAATAAGAAGACAGACACTACTCTAAATCTTTAGCCATATATACAGATCTCTAGCTAACATACATAATTACTAGTAGCAAATTAGTGGAGTAGCATAACTTAATTAGTTCCAATATGATGATCACGAAGTTCAAGGAATGAGTTGATTTGGGATCTCCAAAAAAATTGACTGTTATCGGTTAGACAATGGCTTCCAGAGTACATAAACAGTGAGGAGATTATAACACATGCATACCATGCATCGGAGTCGACAGCTGTAACACCCAAGCCCGATTGAAGCATTCAGTAATTGTGTTGTTGGCTCATGTGGTATTTGGAGTTGCAGTTGGTGGGTTCAAAAAACTAAACCTATATAATCCTTTTTGTTCCAAACACGTAGTACCTCCGGATTAACCTCTTTATATGAAGCAATGACGAAAGTGTAAGAGAAGTGTAACAGCCTCGCCAATCATCGTGCCACGGCCCATACCACATAAGGTTGGATTGATGATTCATGGAAAATTGAAGCCGAAACCTTTATTTTCTCATTATTTTTTTTAAAAAAATATCTTGATTCAGTTCACCTATATATGCTTATTAGTTGTCCGAAGCCAATTTTACTTTAAAGAAACTTTGTCAACCCGTGCAAGGGTATGTACACTTATTAGATTCCTATATATGTTTTTTGAAAGGATGGCAAAACCTTTGCTGCAAGTTTTCTTAGATGGGTAAAGAAAAGAACATAAGTCCCGGTCCAGTTTGTTGAGTGCAAATCAGGCCAAGGAAACCACATGTGACTAGAGTACAACCACCAAACAAACTCCGGAACCAAGACTTACCCACTAAAACTAAACACAACTTCCCACCTAGAAGACAACCAAAAACAACTGTGTCACAAAACACCAAACAAACATGCTCAAGAAACTTTTTAAAGACCACAACCACAACATATATTATGTCATTTCATTATCGAGTAAACGTAACCAAGTAACTTTTAAAATAGATATTCTTTTGTCAACAAAAAGTCTTATTAATACGTACCAAAGTTATATTTAAAATGGAGTTCTACCAGGCAAATATATGTTTAGACTACTTTATCTGTTGTCAATGTAAGACTTTGTCCGCACTTGATGCCCACGAATATTCAACACCTTCCTGCATCCTGTCCTTCGAATCAATGATAGGACTTGTACAGTGAAACTAATTTTTTCCAGCCAGGTAGCTAGGTCTTTGTTAATATCAACAATATTTTACACCTACCGATAGATCGAGAACCACTAGTGATCGAACTAACTTCTTTTTTTTCTGTCAAAGAAGCTAGGCTACTTTTGATAAAAGCAAATCCACAGTATAGGGTGCTTGGATTGTGCCGCAGCAATACTTAACTTGCGTACTTCTCTATTATAGTCGTATACACTTTTTCTATAAGCATTATTAAGAAAATGCCAAGATTTGCATTTTCTTTGAATTTCAGCGTAACAGGGAAAAAATCTTGAACCTGCAGAGACAGAGAGATTCATATGGATACTATACTATACATTTCTTTGTCTGACGTGCAACTGTTCTTATTTTTCTTTATATATCAAAGGCCTCATGTTACACTACCAATGCTGGCCTGTAACTCTCATGTGCTAGTTATCAAATCAGCATTATGAAAGCCAACACGGATATGATCCTCAAGAGCGGCTGCACAGCACAACCGATAGGGAAGTGAGTATTTGTGTGTGTATATATTATAAGTTGACGTGAATAGTCAATAAAATTTAGCAAAAAAACAAATTGCAACAAAAAAAAGCTCTCGACCCAAAGGTCACCCCTCGTCCGCAATTGTCCACACGGTTAAGCATCACAAGTCTTTTTTTTTTTTTTGCATGAAATGTGCACATGTGTGGTTTCCAGGCTTATGTTCGACCTCATCCTTGATGCACTCCCACTTTACTGTCTCACTTGTACTCATTGTTAATACCAATAAGGCTTTATATTTGTTTGACTAGTTTTGTCAAAAACTTTGGTCTTTTTATTCGGACATGTAAATGATTTCAAATTAAATTTCCAACTGCAAAATTGTAGGTTTGACAAAAATATATGAATGAATCTAAAAATTCAAATTAAACGTGCTAAAACGGACAATAGCTATATGTATTGTCTCTTAATAAGAGCCAACATGCAAAATCAAGGTATACATGCTAGTTTGTGGCACTAAGCTAGCATTATTAGAACCAGTAGTGATTCTAAAGCTGTCACTACCGGGTCCAGCCTTGACCCAACAGTGATATCATCCTTTCACTGCAGGGTCCAGAACCGGCAAGGGTAGGCAAGCTCCATCACTGTTGATTGCCCTCTGCCGGACCCAATTACGGTAGTGATGTCAGGTTTAGACCCGATAGTGATCCACTGATCTATGCTATTGTACAAAGATACTCGAACTTTATACAACCATATGTAATCACACTGGAAATGATGATTATGGTTAAAGAAGAAAGGTAAAAGAGACCTAGATCTTACTAAGATCCTCTAAATCTTTAATTCATCACTCCCCACAACGAGACCCAAACAACCTATATATATAATCACCTTTTAGTCTACTGTTATTAGCGGAAACCAAATTAATCAAAAAGCCTTCTGAAAGAGACTCGGACACGACGGGTTATTATATTTATATGTGTGCGTGCACTATATACACACCTGTTGATTGAATTGATTAAGTTTTGCATTGTGTGCAACGCAACATTCATTGATCAATTAGCTGTGTGTAATTAAGTTGACCAACTGCCCTAGTAGCTACCTAATCATAAAAACGATATAGAAATGGTAGCTGGTCATAGTTTTATTATACTACGCAATGTGTCTCTTTCACCTTGTTGATCAAGTTGTAGATCGTGACAAGATGGATAATATATTTGTATATATGCAAAGGCCAGCTCGAGGGTCATGATACATACACTAACTAATAATGAAAGAAAAATTAATTTCGTCGTAATTTACTTTGGTGCACTAACATCATCAGCGGAAGAAAAGAGGGACGAAGAGCAGATTGTCGCTTAGTGGTGGCTCACTTTATTAGCTGAAAAGGTG